AAATCAAATATTTAAAAAACAACAACAAAAAAATGCTCAGATTTTTAATATCACTTTATTATTTTTCAGTTTTGTATTGAAGAATGAAGAAACAATCATAGTTGGACCGGATGTAAAAGTAAATACAAAAGTACAAAATAAATGCAATTGAAATCTTGCAACCCATAGGTCTGATGACGTCTGCATTCACATGCAGATATTGGTAGATAGGGATTCATAAAAGGTGAACATATTGCAACCTCAGTGTAAAACTGTAGTGTGCTGGCCTCCGGTCTCTTCCCTGCTGGTAAACACAGTGTCCAGCTTGTTGTCGTACAGGATTTTCACAATGCTTGCAATATATACCACTGATAAATAGGGTTTACAATAGAATAGAGTTTTCATTATACTTTCTTAGTTTGGTCCACAATTACTAGGTTTAGTAGGCCTAATTAAGGTTATATATCTGTGAAATTAAACTGATAACACATAGTAAGAACTTTACTCAAAACAAAACGTACTACATGGTGTGTAGTAATATCTTACTTTTTGTGTTATTTATTTGAACTGAAACACTCTCCTACAGCATAGACAATGCTCAAAGCTTCAATTGCAGAGACTGCGGCTGTGGTCTAAAGGTCTAAGGTGCTCGAACATCATGGTCAGGGATGCTGCAAGACACTCTGGGGGCCCCAGAAGAGACCTGACCCCCAACACATCCCCCCAACACAGGGGGCCCCCTTTCTGTTCCGGGTCATGGTTGCAAAGTACAGGCCCGAAGGAGAGCACCATCAGCGTGGCAGAGACAGAGCAGCCGGATTGGTCCGGACAAGCCCGAACAAATTATTTTGGTCAGCCCTAAAGCTGTTTTGGAAAACTGTCCGACCCCTCAGGATGGAACCATCCGAGCAGTAAGGATGAGGGTGATAGGGCGATGGAAGGAGCACAGTGAGGAACTCCTGAACCCAACAGAACCAGCCCCACCAGGCTCTGTCACCTCTCCTGTCCATGATAGAAACATTAGCCGCTTTCACACCAAGTACTTTGCCGTACTTAGTTCCCAGCACTTAGTTCCCAGCACTTAGTTCCCCCATGGAACTAAAGAGCAGATCGCGTTCACACCGGAATAAGTCCCTGAGGGAAGATTACGCAAATGAAGCCGCTGACGTCACTTCTTCTTCTTCTGCTTTGGGTTTACTGGCAGGCCGCAAACAACTTCACGCAGGGGCGCCGTAAGGGGGTGAAAAGTTAGGACTATTCTAAGGGCCCGTGACTGACAGGGGCCCAAATTATTTTAGAACATTAAGAAAAAAACGTTTCAGTAACCTTTCATCATTCATCAATAATTAACATTAATAGAACGTTATATTGATAATGTACTCACTAAACTTACGATTAATTTAACTTATTTTCTTCCAAAAGTTAATTATCCAAAGCCTCTGTACACCCCCCTCTATTTACATGTAATGGTTTGGTCCTGCCTCCAACCGCGGTGCGGGCCGGCACCGGCACTTTCTAGCAGAGAGTAGGGGTGGGCGAGACCACAAAATCTGGATTCGATCCGATACCAAGTACTTCAGGGTAGTGTTAATTTTGTCAGCTATTTTTTAATTTAGTTTTAGTCTTAGTCCTGTGTTAAATTTCCTTTTTAGTTTAAGTCATATTTAGTCACCTTCATCCTGTTTTTATTTAGTCAAGTTTTAGTCGACTAAAAGTCTGAGCATTTTAGTCTTATTTTAGTAAAAGAAAACTAATTATTTTAGTCTACTTTTTGTCAATGAAAACTGTTGAGTCTTTTTTAGTCATCAGATTATATAGAACATTTCAGTCAAACTAGTCTAGCCAAAACCAATAATTTGTCATTTTGGTCAAATTTATTTCACAATAAGATTATATCTTGTCCTTATTTGATGAAAAACACAGGTTGAATGATTAAGAAAGCAGCTTTGCAGAGAGTATATGGTCAGGTTTGTGGTGTTTTTACCAGCTGTGTTATGGCCACATTGCTTCCCTTCTGATAAAACAATGCATTTGCTTTTTTTCTCCGCCTCATTGTAGCGAAAATGGGCCCAAATATCACATCGTTTCTTTCTCCCAAGCAGTTGTGGTTAGACTTTTTTGTTGTCAGTCATTTTGACGGACAGGATTGTAACATTTCCGTCATAATCCATTATTACCCGTCGAGTCTGTACACAACTCGGGGAGGGGGGGGGGGGGGGTGGTGGTATTCTGTTAACGCGACCACTGCTCCCAAGCCCTGTTGTTGCCATTTTATTTTCTGTTAAATAAGGTTAGTTAGACCATGAGTTAGACCCGAGTCTTCCTGACAGTTCATAGTGTGCCGCTGGCCCGGTGTAATTAAAATGTACCACCGCGCGCAGCACAGACACACAGCTGCTGCCCAGCCGCAGCACCGGAAATGGAACTGCTGGGAGAAAAACTGACTATTATGCCCCTTTCACACCAACGCAACTCCGGTTCAAGCTCCGTGCTAGAGCTTTTCAGGTTCAGAACCGGTTCTTCGGTTCAGCTCCCGCTCTTTTCACACCGCCCAGAGTCCGACTGGTGCTGCGTCATTGCGTCATCATTTGCGTCATGACGTAACCGTTTGCGTGCCTGCTTCATAAAGCCAAACCGCGCGGAAACCCCTCACATCGACAACAACAATGGCAGATTGTATTGAAGCGCTACTCGTTGTGGTTTTGCTCTGTCGAAACGAAATGGAACAAATGCTACAAATGGGACGACTTTACTACCAACTTCATAGTCGTTACATGTTACATTTAAGACTTATTTACAATCATCATCATCATCAACTTCAACGACGATCCGTTAGGAGAAAGAAGGTAAATATACGTCCTATTCGATGGCGTTAGAGCTAGCTGTTGTTAGCCTCTGCATGCGCCAAGCTCAACATACCCAGCTTTGCAGCATTAATTACTATGGTATAACATTAAAAACTGATTCTCAATGTTATTTCCACAGATCATGTTGAAGCTGGCGGAAAGGCGGATGTCGCGTGTTATTTGGACACAGCCCAGATCTTCCGACTGGTGGGACACCATTGCTTCAGACTTCTCCTCTCTGCAATTCATGCAGAATTTCCGCGTGTCCAGGGAGTCCTTTGACTACATCTGCAACCAGGTCAGCGGCGTTTTGGGGAGAAGAGACACAAATTACCGTCTGTGTATACCCAATAGAAAACGTGTTGCAATTGCCCTCTGGAAGCTGGCCACCGGAGGTGAATACAGGACCATCAGCCATCTTTTCGGGGTAGGCCTAAGCACCGTTTGCCTTTGTGTTCAGGATTTCTGCAGGGCAACCATGGAAGTTCTGCTTCCACTACACATCACATTTCCTGATGTGGAGAAGTTGGTGGAAATGGCCACTTTTTTCAACAGCCGTTGGAGAGCACCACAGTGTGTTGGTGCAATAGATGGAAGCCACATCCCTATTTTAGCACCACAAAAGTATCCCAAGGACTATTATAACAGAAAAGGCTGGCATTCTGTTGTTCTACAGGCTGTTGTTGATGGCAGGGGGATGTTCTGGGATGTGTGTGTTGGCGACCCAGGTAGTGTACATGATGCTAGAGTGCTAAAACAATCCAATCTTTGGGTGGCTATCAGTGATGGAGTGTTGCTAGGCCAAAACAAAATGACCATCTCTGGCTGTGATGTGGGACATTACCTGATTGGTGACCCAGCCTATCCAATGCAAAGATGGCTGATGAAACCATTTTCGGACACTGGGAGACTGACCCCTGAACAGCACACCTACAACTACAGGCTGAGCAGTGCACGGTCGGTTGTTGAGATGGCTTTTGGAAGGCTAAAAGGAAGATGGAGGTGCCTCCTAAAAAGGAACGACTGCGAGCTGGAGCTCAGCAAATTAATGACAGTGACTTGCTGTGTACTACACAACATATGCGAGGCACATAGTGACAACTTCACTGAAGATTGCCATGAACGTGTTGTGTACAACCAACCCCCTTTACACCCCTTTCCAGATAATGGTAGACAAGAAGGAGCTGACGTTAGATCCGCATTGATGGACTATTTCAACATGGAGGACCACTAATATTACTGCAGTTAAACCTGATCTATTTTGTATCATGTCTCTTATTTTTTTTATTACAATAAAATCACTGGATCACACTTCAATTGTGTTTATTTTGTATACAAATCACATAATCTAGATACAAACAGGTATGAACAATATTCTTATAGAAAAAAGTGCATACCCAAAGTGTTTAGACTATATTCTTATAGAAAAAGTGCATACCCAAAGTGTTTAGACTATATTCTTATAGAAAAAGTGCATACCCAAAGTGTTTAGACTATATTCTTATAGAAAAAGTGCATACCCAAAGTGTTTAGACTATATTCTTATAGAAAAAGTGCATACCCAAAGTGTTTAGACTATATTCTTATAGAAAAAGTGCATACCCAAACGGTTTAGACTATATTCTTAACTCAAATACACAGTGGGCCAAAATTAAAAAAACGGTACTAGTCGAGGGCCGGACTGGTTCAATGTTTGTTGCAAAAGTCATTGCCCATATTAAACATGGAACTAATAAAGCTGAAATGATTGTAATAATGGATAACACTGGTAAAATGAGTTGATCTAATTGTATCATGCCTATCCTTTTTCCCAATAACATCAATGGATCAGACATGACTTTTGTTTATTTTATATACAAATCAAAGACAAGTATATTCGTATATAAACAAGATTTATTCCAAAAAATAAATAAGCAGTCAACTAGCCAACCCATGACTGCTCTCTGACCTTTGACCCTTCTATGAGGACATGACATCGCAGGATACAAGTATTAATACATTTTTCTGTTATGGCATTTTATTAATGGACATCATTCGAAAACCACCACCGGGTGGCTGAACACCGTATTTGAACATTAAGAAAAAGAGCATATTGACATTCTTTTCGTTTGTTAAGATGTTTTGGTATGCATTTTAAATATAAATTATAGATGTTTAAATCTACTACTGTAACCTCTCCCAAAAATGAGTTTAGTATTTTTATGTGTATTTGTGTGCAATACAGAAACATTTGGAACATCAAAATGTAAAAATTGAGCTTGCTTTAGTTCTGGTAATGTATATACATTGTGAAAAACAAAGTATTGAGTTTACGTAAAATCCAGTATGAGCTACATTTGTTTGCTATGAGCTAAGTCATAATGTTTGAATTGTCCAATTTCAATCTATAATACTCATTTAAATGTAAAGAAAAGCAGAGCAGCTTACACTTTGCATCGAGATATGTTTGCCTTTTATATCATTGAAATAAGAAATAAGAGAATGTAGCATATATGTAATATATGAAAATTCAAGACTATTGTGTAGTGCATGGGGGGGATAATTGTAAGTAAGATTATATGAAACTATAATATCAGACATAGGACTTTTGTGTATTTTATATACAAATCAAAGACAAGTATGGACAATATTCGTATATAAACAAGATTTATTCAAAAAAAGTGTGGAGAATATACTTTATATACACTATAATAATGTGGAAAAAACAAGAATGTGTGTAAAAAAAAAAGGTATGAACAAAAAAAAGTAGGAACTATTTACATAAAATTAAAAAAAATAAAGTCAGTGCTTGTTGGTCTCCATCACCTTCACAATCCTGTCTACCAAGCCAAGCATTGAGTGGCTGTTCTCCTCAATTTTGCTGAACACCTTTAGGAAGTCAGCATTGGCAGTACTGGCAGTATGCACCTCCTGAAGCACCTCCTGAAGCATCGCCTGGCCCTGCTCCAGTAGCCTTTCATCCCTCACGTCACTTTTCTCCATATAACTCAGAAGGCCAGATGACGAATCCCGCTTCCTTTTAACTACAAAGGGAAAAATAATAAAGTCAACACAGTATTCATGACATTTTATGAGATGTATATTATATACTGTGTAATGAAATGTTGTATTGTTATTATGGCTGCAGTTGCATAACTTGAACAACTACTACAATGACTATGCCATGATAAATGCACATGGCAACAGGGAACAGTATTACTATAATGATCACTGTAAACCTTACCCTGTTTGTTTCGGCCCGCTGGCTGGATAGGGTTCACCAGACATTCCTGGGAAGAGCTGCTTGCCGTAAGAGGAGACCCTTCCATCCGCATGGGCGAGCTGCAGGCCGACGGTAGTGGCGTTTCCGACAGAGTACGCTCCAAACTAGATATGTCTGTAAACACAATATAAACACAATGAACAAAAGTAGCCCTTCAACAAATCATAACTCGTTAGTGAGAAGAAAGAAGATACATTGGAGGCGTTAGCTGTCTTTGCCATGGGGATACCTTTGTTTATTTTGTTAGCATTAGCATGCTAGCGCTATTATTGGTTTGGATGCACATCCGGTAGCTGTAGTAGCTAAACTTTAGCTTTATTGCCAGGTCTGTCGATAGCTAGATGGTTGTAAAACAAAAAGTCACAAATAAAACAAATCGGTAATGCATAACTCACCGGCAAATGAGCTCTGCACATTCAGCGACTCGACCTGCGACACAATTGACGAGAGAGAAAGCGAGTTAACCGTCGATCCATAACCACTCGTCGGTCTGTCTCCGAGGACCGAGTCTAGCAACTCATAATGTGGACTTGCTTTAGGACGACCGCTGCCACTCCGTCCGAGGTCTCGCTTTTGGTCCCGATAATCCTTCTTCACCTTCTTCAATTTGTTGGCAATCTGCTCAACTGAACGGTCAAACCCAGCGGTTGCCATGTCTTGCTGCAATTCTTGTAGAATTGCTTTGGACCGCGTGGTCCCCTCCAGCTTCCTTTGAACCTCTTCCGAAGACCAGATTCCCAGTAGGTAGCTCGTCTCCTCGGTGGACCACTGCTGCTTGTTAGTTAGTCTTAGGTTGTCCATCGTTGTGTACGAACTGGATAACACGCAGGCTTTTTGTTGTTGTTAGAGGTTGATCCCGCCCCTGCCCATGCCCACGCCTCCAACGTAAGCGTGACGTATGCGGTGCTAGCTTTCTAGACGGACAACTTTTTGGTGCTTGAAACGAACCGGATTCCGGAGCTATGACGCTGCTCCGCTGCGGTGTGAACAGGAAAACCCGGTGCTTTTCAAGCACCAGCACCGAACCAGCCCCGAAACACCGTTGGTGTGAAAGGGGTAATAGAGATGTAACGTTATCTTTGATAATATTTCGTCTCCTCATTTTTCGTCAACGAAACTAAAGACAGATTTTGGCATAGTTTTTATTTAGTAAACTACATTTTCGTCTCGTCACTTTTCGTCAACGATATTGCATGTTGATTTCGTTACAGTTATTGTTTACTGCCGTCATTGCCGTCTCGTCATCGTCTCGTTTTAGTCATGGAAAAAAAGGTCGTTGACGAACATATTTCGTCAACGAAATGAACACTACAGTACTTCAGGGCCAGTATCGCCAATACCAATACCGAAAGCGTCTTATGTACTTTCATGTAGGGGAGAGCTGCATCATGACATGATTTTTGAGCTGAATGCGTCATAAATAGATTAAATCTGAATTCATTTTCATGATTAAAGGCAGGACAAGGAAAAATGAAAAATAACAATACAAAGTGCAAAGTGGCCACAGTAGCGAACTGCCTTCTTGCACACATCACAGTTCGCTCCACACAACGCTCCTCTTTCTCTCAGCCATCATGCACACGTGTGTGTGTGTGTGTGTGTGTGTGTGTGTGTGTGTGTGTGTGTGTGTGTGTGTGTGTGTGTGTGTGTGTGTGTGTGTGTGTGTGTGTGTGTGTGTGTGTGTGTGTGTGTGTGTGTGTGTGTGTGTGTGTGTGTGTGGAGACACTGTGATAGATCGTTGGAGCTATGTGCAGCTCAAGGCTTATATGCTCGAATGGGTGTGTGTGTCTTCAGTAGAAGCTGCTGGGACTCCCAGCAGCTTCTACTGAAGCCTTCCGAGTAAATCGCCAGAACGCTCCTCCTCATCACTCCACCGCTCCAATGTTTTCTTTTTGTGTTGCCATAAGTTAGTCTCTCTCCGTTGGTGCGCTGGGCTAATGCTAATGCTAATAATGCTAATGCCAGCAAATACAATGGCGGCTTAACAAAACTTTTCAGAGTTTTACGGGGCGTGGTTTGCAATTCGCCCAGCCAATCAGAAATTGGAACTTTTTTCTCCCCAGGAAAGTACCTGCTCTCTAGCAGGGACCGAAAAGGGGGGACAAGTTCTCATGAACCAAGTTCCCTTTTTGGTGTGAACGCAAAATCCCAGGAACTATCTGAACTAAAAGGGAAAAGTATGGGGAAAAGTACTGCGGTGTGAAAGCGCCTATTGCTTTTCTGTGTAACTTGGTCAGATTATTGTGCTACATCAGTGGTTCAGGTTATCTGTCCTTTCCAGCTGGAAATATGATTGATTCTGTTAAATGCTATAACTCTTTATTAAATAACATAACTTTGGTTTAAGCTTGTATAATTGTTATTTTCTTAACAGAAGGTGATTAAGTGTGGAATTTCAGCCTGTAATAATTGCAGAATATATTTGACATTTTGACACAACTTATTTTTGTAAATGATATTCTTTTTGTACACTCAATTAATAAAGCAGTCGCTTATTTATTCATTCTAGATATAATTAGAATCGGAGGGATGAAACCCTCTTTAATGGTCACACATACATGTACACAGCACACACAGTGAAATGTGGCCTCTGCATTTAACCCATCCTAATAGTAGGAGCAGTGGGCAACTATTGTACAGCGCCCGGGGAGCAATAGGGAGTGAGGGGGGAAGGTGGTTGTCTGGTGCCTTGCTCAAGGGCACCACGGCAGGGCCCAGGAGGGGAACTGGGACCTCTCCAAGTAGCAGTCCACACTCCATATCTAGGGCTGCGTTTCACTTCGGTTAAATGGATTCCTTGCATCCCTCACTTGCGTCGTTTCCCTGCGACTAGTCCCTCCCACCAGGGAAGCATGGAGAGACGCAAGGAAACCACGAGAAGCAGGGAAATTAGTTTTAAGAGCAATGGGACGTCCTTTCCTCCGGAGCGTCACGTGAAGCGACGTCCGTTTGTGATGACTCCGCACAGCTGTTCGTCTGACAGCAGCTCTGTCCCCGTTATTTTCCCCCGCCTCTGTTAGTACACATTTACTGACACAAACATTTGTATCATCTGTTGTAGACCCAAATACATTAAATAAAATAAGAACTGATTCTCAAAAAAGATAAACGCCATTCTTAAAATGTATAAACGAACAATAGTTGGATTAATATTGATTAGAGTGCACAATAAATAAAATAATTCAGAGAAGAAAAAGAGATATGTTATCTATCAAAACCCAGTTAGATTAACATTCATTGCATTGGATTGCACACTTTGTTTGTGTGGATATGTAGCAAATTAACATGTTAAATAGCACTTAATGACTGACTGAATGGAAATGACAATAAATGAAAATGTAAACCGAAAAAAGCGATCATGAAAATGTTTCCAATAAATGAATAAAATGATTTTTGACCACTTTGTTGTTCAGATATATCACATATTTGTAACTGAATGATGCATTCATTGAAACAAAACACAGTATAAACTGAGGAGTGAGTCCCGTGAGTTTCATGTGTTTTCTCCACTCCGCTGGGAAACTGCTCTCATGTCAAGAAGCATCAGATCAGTGCATGCGCTGCATCGTCCAATCAGTGAGCGATACACAGTAAGGGGGCGGGGCGAGTGTCTGAGGATTTCATCGAAGGATGGTCTGGTGGTTCCTCGATTATAGCTCCTCCATTATCGCTCCTCGCTCCTCGCTCCTCCGGCAAAAATAAGGCCATTGGGACGCTACTCAAGATGGCGCAGACAAATCAACTTCCGGTGAGACCGAGACCGAGGAGCGAGGAAATGAAAAATAAGAGAAGTGAAACGCAGCCAAAGTCTGTTCGGGGACCCTATGGCTCCTTGTCCAAGCCTGAGCCACTGATTGGCAAGTTAACTCTTTATATGATTCATCAGAGGTAATATTTCCATTCATGTTATTATTTTAAACCTTTCTCTCCTTTCATCCTTCTGCCATCCGTGTCACAGGCAGAAGTAGATGTAGTGGGGAGGAAATAGGTACGACATATATCGATATTTTAGTTACACTATATTGTGAAATTACAAAGAAAGCTTTCATTTTCCTCTGCCACACTTGTTCTCTCCCTCCTCTTCATGTCCAGTTGAGTCATTTCCCCGTCTGTGCTGCGGGTCTAGCTGCGTTGTTCTCTCTGTCCAGCAGAGGTCCTCGCTGTGCTTCTGATGTACAGTTTGGCAGCTCCCTCCAGTCAGGCAATGATCCGGTCCCTCTGTGTTCCTGTGTGCCTGCCCCAGTTAGTCTCTGCTTGTTAGTTAGTGTCCCTGCCTGAGCATTCAGCCCCCCAGTGGCGGCTGGTGGAAAATATTTTAGGTGGGGCTGTGGAAATGGTGACCAAACAATACTAGGGGTGTCCGGGGGGATGCGGACATCCGGACATAGTTTCTACAGCATAAACTGTGCAACAGTAGGGGAGAGTGGGGTAAGTTGAGCCATTTTTTAGTTATGCTGTCCTCTAAGCAAGGAGAAATGTCACATTGTAAAAATGAAAGCACACACCTATAATGCAGGATGTCCCCTATCAATAGCAATGATAAGAATGAATATTTGATCAAGGGCAGTGAAAATATTACTTACACAAAAAAAGTGGTCTTGTGGCTCAACTTGCCCCGGTTAGGGGTAAGTTGATCCAGGTCAGGGGGTAAATTGAACCACTGTTGGGTAAATTGACCCATTCACTTTTTCTAGTTTAAACCTGGGCATACCTACAAACAATCTTAAAGGTAACTATAAACAATAAATAACTTACCAAATACAAGTTTAGTTTTTCAAATATTTTAATATAAAGTTCGATTGATTATTTTTTTTGACATGTTAAAAGATACAATTTCATACATCTTACCACTTAAACAGGGTAAATTGAACTTTAAATGTAGCCTACAATGAGCTCTCAACTGGGCCTACTTTTATTCTGCTACTCCACATTCCACCCCTCGAGGTTGCAGGGAAATGTTAATTGTTGCTCCCTCCGTGCAGTTCCTCCAACCTTTTTTGGTTTAGGTAGCTTCTTCAGCACATCACGTTGTGGGAAAAGTGCCGCATCATTTTCTTTGAAACAAAAAGTGGGTTTCACCTTGGCAGTGCTCCCCGGGATTCTTCGGAGAAATCGTGCACTAACTTCATCTCCGTCAATTTTCTCAGCCATTCCAATGTAATTGTAGCACTTGCATTTGGTTTGAAATTTTACGATGACAAAGTCACCAACTAACAAATCTGTGGTGTCTGTTTCACCTAGCTCATCCTCAGAGCTCTCATACTCTGACGTGTCATCATATTGGACTGGAGCATCACTCTTTTTCTTCTTGGTTGGTTTCTTGTGGAGCTTTCCTTTTTTTTCTTTGCTGTTACTTTGCTTTTTCCCCTGCTGTTTATTTTTTCTCTCTTCATGAGCCCTCTCAATTGCCTGCTTTTCAGGTGTATCAGTTAATATTCTGGTCTTCACCCGCTTTCGCTTCGTCTGTGCCCTGGGATGTGGACTTTTGGGTAACGGCAGTATTTTATCTGGAGACACATATGCAGTGTGGCTAGGTTGCAGATCTGTGTCATCTGGTGAATCACATCCAGGAGTGGAGCTTGATGGAAGCTCAGAAGTTATGGAGTTCGAGGCAGTGGGGGGATCATCTGCAGCGGGTGGATCATCTGCAGCTGCAGCGGGTGGATCATATGCAGCTGCAGCGGATGGATCATCTGCAGCGGGTGGATCATCTGCAGTGGTTGAATGATCTCGAGCGGCAGACTGTAACTCAGGGTTTGGCCTGTCTGACACCATGGATGGCTCAAACTCTGCATCAGGGAAGATATCTCGATTGTATGGGTAGATCCCTGTGGACCTGAATCCAGAAAT